TCTATTCCATGCCTCTGTCCATGACATCCCTGGTTGTAATTCCTGTTCTAACACATTTTTAAGAGAGGAACTCGTGTCTAGAATTGCAAATAGTTCTATATAGGTGCGGTCCTATAACATGTTCTATATAGGTGCGGTCCTATAACAGCTCCGTAACCGGGCCATATTTGGCTTTCAAGTGTGCCATTAGCCACTCTGCCACTGCTACCAACTTCTGTTCCAGGAGCAGGTGTTGTGGCGGAGCCCCCTCTTCTCCGCCTACTGGCTCATCCCCAGGTGACAGACCCTGTGGGGCTTTGCCTGTTTGGCCCGGGAGAGGGTCGACATCCATAGGCTCTCGCCTAAACGTCATGTTAAAGGGGTCTGTGTGGGCTATAGTATCCTCGGCCCCTGCAGGTGGTACCCCGTGTTCAAGCTGTGTCCCCCTGGGCTCAAGGCGGGACTGTTTGTAAGGTTCCACATCCATTCCGACCTGCTCTGTATCGGTCTGCACATGGAGGGGATCGGGTACTGGTTCAGTGGCCAACCTGCTTGGTGCCGGCTGTTTTGGGGGTTGTGCGATCTATTTCATTTTCTTGCCGCCACGGGCCCCAGCTCCCACATCCCCCCCCTCCTACACATATTTGTTCGCCGAGGGGCCAATGTTTTCCGGGTTGCCCACTCCTGCATCCCCCATCTCTCTACTGCCTTTTCCTTCTATCCCTCGCTGTTCGGGCTCCACTTCCTCGTGTGTGTTCCCTGCAGGCGGGGTTCCAGACCATTTGGTTTTCTCTGTTCCTTCCGGCCCCTTCTCAGGCCCCGGGGTGCGTTTTGGAACCCAGATCCCTATTCCTCCCTTCCTTGTCACAGTTTTCCATCCTCCTCTGTCCTGATCCCCCACGTCAGCATTTGACCGTGGTTCCTCCTTTTGCAGTTTGTGATCCACCGGGGTTGGGGGGGTCCAGGAGTTGGGGGGGGGTGTTTCCCACTCTGGTTCCCCGGCCTTCTCCCATACCCAACCCACCGGTTCCCCTTCACTCGTGTGGTCCTCCACGTAGACCCAGCCTTCGTGCCCTTCGTGCCCTGGGTCTATTGGCCTCCAATGCGACGCTTTATATGGATCCCTCAGCAACCTCCCCGTCACTCTAGCTTTTTTTTGTGGGTGAAGGGGACAACAATAATCTGTGCAGTGGCCGTATACTCGACATTTGTGACACCACGGTCTCATCTTGTGCGCTGCATGAATTATGTACTCCCTGCCCCCCACGCAATAGGGGATCACATCATCCAAGGAGAAGGGTTGGCCTTGTGGAAAATCTTGGGCCATCATGAGGTAATCATCCCTCTTTGCGACATATGATGGGAGGCGGTCGATGAAAGTGACAATATCATACATCTGCCCGAAATCGTGTACGAAAGCTGCCTGGATTTCTATTGGGATATGGCGGAAGTCAACCCAGTAGAAATCCTGCATCAGCTGTGTTCGTCTTTCCTCTGGTCCGAGCCGGCGCTGCGGCGTCCATGGGTGGATTCATACTTCAGATCGATCACAACGTAGTCTTTTCCAATTATCAATTGTCTGTTTGTCCACCTCATGCATACACAAAACCATGAAGAATCCACCGGCCTAGCTCAGTTGGTTAGGCACGCAAGTGGCATTCAGGAGGTTGTGGGTTCAAGCGCCATGACCGCCTGTGGCGCACTTAGTGCCAACGGACTGTGATAGTCCTCTGGATACCCCTGATCGGTATAAGTGGAGTCTATGACCAACATGGGTGTGAGTGCAAGCGCGAGTGGGTTGTGTGTGCTGTGTGGGAGAGTGTTGGCCATAGCCACTGCTGCTACTCGATGAGGGGTGGGGGACGATGAGAAAGGGAGGCGCAGCTACTGGCAGGTCTCGGTCTTTGCGTTAGCCAGACCCCCACTGGCGGCCCCAACCCTACACCCTTAACCACTAGGGCAAGGGGCAACATGCAATATCCCCTTCACAGTGAGAGGTAGCTATGCTTGCAGGGGTCCCCTATAGCTAGCCTTAGGAGTTGGTAGGTAGTGAAAGGCAAAACAGAAGTTGAGAGAAGAATATAGAAGGGAAGAATTCCCCCAAAAAACAACAACAACAACAACAACAACCACGAAGAGGGTGTTGGAGAGCGGTTGGATGAGAACTGGTCGCGTGCCAGATCTGGGCTACCTTTTAGAATCCATCTGACTTTATCATTAATTGTTTTGAAGGCCGCATCATCGTGAAAAACCCAATTATTTGCATGTTTGACGTCGAGGGCATCCCTCCCGGCCGGCCCTTTCTCCGGGTAGGGTTTCACCATGATCTGCTTACCCCCTTGCGAAACCACTCGTGTCTCTGAGGGTAAAAGTAAGCAGGACATGAAGAACGCTCGTGCCGGGGACAGATTGTCCAGGGGGATGATCAGGTCTCCTGTGCGCGGGACTCCTTGCCCTCGATGGACTGTCAACGTTTGGCCCTGGTATGGAATTTTTGACCTTGTCCGCCCATGTGGCTGGTGTATCTGAAGAGGCCACATGGTCGGGAGGATCGCTGCTCCGGACAGGGCTTTTCAGAGGAACCGCATTGACCCCTTGAGCCGCAATCTGCATCCTTTCTTCTTCTGTCAAAATCTGTGTGTCATTCTGTGAGGTAGATGGGCTGTCCTTGTTTGTGACAGCGCTGTGTTCAGCTGAGGGGGGGGGGAGCCGATCTCGGTTTAATTGTGCCCGTCTTCCATGTTGGATATAGTGCTCCGCCAACTGTGTCATCGCCCCGCTGTAGAAAAGCATCGAATCTAACCTTTTGTGTGCTCGCTGTCGCCTGGTGGTTATTTTCATGACCGGTTGCTTTCCCATCAACCAATCTTGTTGCTTTGGTTATGTTATTTTGTTCCCCCTTTTTCTTTTTTTTTTTTTTTTTTTTTTTTTTTTTTCTCTTTTTTTTTTTTTTTTTTTTTTTTTTTTTTTTTTTCTTTTTTTTAACTATGTTCTTCTCCCAATTTCACCTCACACTACCTACCTACCACTACTCCTACTTGTAGGCATACGGGGAACCCCGTAGCAGTCAGAACCGTGTTCACACTACCTACCTACCACTACTCCTACCTATGGGCATACGGGGAAACCCGTAGCATACCAGAGCCGTGTTTTTACGGCCCCTATAGTTAAAAAAAAGAAGAAAAAAAAAGAACCGTGTTCACAAGAGAACATGCGGGGGCTGCTCCCGACCTGCAGGTGGGCGATACCAGCCAGGGGACAGCCGGTGGCATCAGAGGATAAAGCCCAGGGGACCAATCTCCTGTGCCTCCCCTCAGGTCCCCTCCCCTACGAACATCAGCAGACTCTGCTATGCCGTTTGTAGTGCGTATTTGACACGTGTGTATTTGTATATTTCGGTTTAGCAGGCCCTTTATCGAGTCTCGGGGGATGGTGGGTAAGGTGAGTGTAAGATCAGTTCTCTTATGGAGTGTCTTTATTGCTCCCTTCCTCTGGTGCTTTTCAGCCTGTCTTCCTTCCAAGGCGAAGTCCCACTCCCTTACCCAAGGTTGTCTTGTCTACCAATCCCATCGTCAAATACTCCTTTCCAAATGTTTCAAAGGCATATCCGCGTATTCAGGTCGGCGTGACTCCCCCCTGCGTCCCGTCGACTCGATCTCCCTCTCCGCGACTTGTCCCCTTTCTTTTTTTTTTTCTTTTTTCTTTTTTAAGGCTACTTCTTTGAAGCCCAACCAATTCAATTACCTGTCAAATCTGGACAGGACGGCCTTTCAGGCCTTTTTTATTGTCATTATAGTATTACGGGGAMCCCCGTAGCAGCCACATCCGTGCTCAAGCCTCCAACGAGCGAACATGCGGGAGCTGCACCCACCAGCAGATGCGATACCTGCTACAGCAGGTGGGCGATACCGGCCAGGGGTCAGCCGGTAGCATCAGGACCGAGCTTCTTCGATGGGCCATTCACTGTGCCTCCCCTCCGGTCCCCTCCCCCTATGAACATCAGCAGTCTCTGCTCAATGCCACTCGGGGGGACCAACGGCATATCTCTAGCTGGCGGGTGCCACTTGCGTGCCTTACCAACTGAGCTAGGCCGCTGGATGACTTGTCCCCTTTCTCGTTCCCCCGGTCCCTAAACCATTGTGTCTCTTTTAGTTCACCGTACAATCTCTCTGCATCCCACGTGGCGCTCACCGATCCGGGGTTCCTTTCCTAACCCTCTCGCCCAATCCCCGCCGCTCCAAATCCCCAGGACCCTTTCCCCCAGTCTTCCCCGGCCCAACTCCCCTGCTCCCTCCCTCCCTTAACCTAGCACATCGTCTTACCTTAATACCTAGTCCAAATTCGAACCTGTTCTCCGTCTCCCTGATGCTTCACTTCACGGATCAGATATTAAACTGATCAGAACAGATAGTACACTTGATCTTAGGCTTGGACCCCACTGGCCGGCGGCGTGGAAGTCATTTTCCATTTCCATGTTTACGGGACCCCACTGGACCGCCAGGAAGGTGCGCCAATGCGAATTCGGGACCCCACTGCCAATGCCGGAGTGTCGTGGAAAACCGTCGGAAGCGTTTCCACATGGTCGGCGGCTGGAAAAAACTGTCAGACCGTCCGGCGACTGTTTTCCAAAACCAATGTTTTTTGAGACGGGGGGGGCATCCCTAAAGATGCCGTACCAGGGCACGGGCGGTCCAGCGACTGTTTTCCAAAACCAATGTTTTTTGAGACGGGGGGGCATCCCTAAAGATGCCGTACCAGGGCACGGGCGGCCTGGTCCAGTGCACGATGGGGTGGACCGTTTCTTCAAAGCACGGACAACAGTGGTGCGTCGCACCGTTCGGGTGTGGGAGCTATCCGTTCCGCGGGTGCATTTCGGGAATGGCAGTCCTTTTCCACAAGCCGGCGAGACCGTGGCGGTGGGGCCTCGACTTTTTCTGGAATTTTCCAACCGCCGGGCAGTGGGGTCCAAGTTTTAGCCAAAAGGCCGAGAAAGGTATACTTCTCGGCCTTTTGGCTAAAATCCCTGCGCTCCGTCCTTGTTTCTTGATTAATTTCTTCTGTTGTGTTTTCTCTTCTCCTCGCCTCGCCAGTTTTCTGGTGTCGCCCTTGTTCCTTCACGACATCTCCACGCCTAGTCCGAATTGCGAATCATCACTGCATGCGTGCAACACCTTGTTCCTTCACGACATCTCCACGCCTAGTCCGAATTGCGAATCATCACTGCATGCGTGCAACACCTGCTCCATCCGTCGAGCTTGCTTGCATGCGATTCACCTTAGTCCGGGCTCTGCACTTCCACGCTTTGCCAGGTCACCGCACGCGGCCGGGCCCATGCGACCAGCCCGCACGACCCGCTATGGTGCTTCACGACCTTGCTCCGCCCCACAGCTTGCCCACGGTTGCCGACTCCCAATCGGCGATGGCGCAGTGCACCGAGCTGCACCGGCGTCCACCGTCGCGTGTTTCAAAGAGCTGCCTCGTCCCCCGCAGTTTTGCCCTGCGGCAGTTCAGCGCTACCGGCGCAGAATCCCGCGGAAGGACCCTTTCCCCCACCGCCCTCCCACCCAGTCTTCCCCGCCCCAACTCGTTGTTACGTTAGGGTTCTCAAGCTTATGACGGCAGTTTCAGCGCCCCCTTCACCCATGGGGATCAAGTACTCCCTGGCCAAGTGGGCGGCTGCACCAATCTTCTCCTTCAGGCTCGTTTCAAGCTTTTCATTTGCACTGATTCCTTTCGTACCTCCACTGTCCGTTGAATTCTCCATGGCCCGGAGCGACGATTTCGTGTATACCAACAGCCACCTGCACACTTGGATCTCGGAAGCTGTTCTGATGGATCAGACTCCATCCGTTGAGGAGATGCTCGAAGACCATTTTGTGGAGGAAACCGCCGATGAGACTACCCCGGAGGTGACATTCCCTTTCCACTCCACCATGACTATGCCTGTTGAAGGTTATGCAATCGGAAACGCTGCTCCCCCTCCGCCCTCCCCCCCCCCTCCCCCCTCTCCCTCTCCCTCCTCTGTCTCACTGAATCTGTTCCCTTTGCGCCCCAGTTTATTTCACTCCCCTCCTCCCCCATCTCCCCACTTTGTGACTTCGATTGGTTGGAAATGGGTTTGCGTTGCGTACGGTAATTTATCCCCAAACTTTCGAAATGTGAGTATTTGAATACTGGTGCTTTCCTATACCCCTCTGATGAGCTAGCTTGGTGGCAGGTAGCGAAAAACGTTTTAGGGAACGCCACTACCCCATTCCCTGTACTGTACTCCTCCGAGGACCTACCCAGAGTGTGGTAAAATGGTCTCGCTATGAAATTATTTGGGGGATGTTTTATAATCCTATTTAGGTTCCTCTTACCCTTGATGCTTGAAGTACTTACACCTAATGGCCGGCGCTTCCATGGGAACTTGGATTGGATTTTTTGTTGTCATTTGTTGTCGGGCATGCTGTGATACGTAGGACTTTCTTGAAGGTAATCAGCTGGAATGTAAATAGGCTACGAATCTGCCTGCATCTGTTCAATCGGTCTACTTACGGTTTCAGTGTACATCTCGTCGGGTCATAGCACGATTATTTTCGAGGAGCGGCTGTCTCTTTCTGTTGATGGCGCACTCTGTGTGTGTTTATATGTATAAGTACTTGCGCATATATCGGCTTGGGCAAGTGGGGGATCTCTGGGAATGCCGACTGAGTTGTCTGGGTATTCACGATACTGAGAGATGCTAGAAAAAGCCGCGATCGGAGGAGTGAGTACTGTTCCTCGTGCTATTGGGTGGCAGGATGTTTTGCGCTCTGTTGAGTAATCATCTGACGGGCATAGGATTGATGCCACTGGCTGATGTAAATATGGGGACAATATCCAGAGCATTTCGTGAAGAGCAAAATTATGGGGAAGGAGAATACTGAGGATCATATCGCACGGCCAGCAGATGAGCAGAATTGAAAGGACAGGGGGCGGCTTGGCGGATGAGAGGGCGAAATTAGTGCGAAGAGGCTATGACACTATCCCCAAACTCAGAGATCGACGGCGCTATGCTCGAGTACATGGAGCCAGTGCGCAGGACATTCGTGATCCGTTCTTTGCTTACCTAATTGTTGCTTAAGCCCTGCTGTTTTACGAGCTGTTCGGGGTTTGTCGGGTTCTTTTTTATTTTTCAATTCCTGACGTGTTTCTCTGAAAATTCCTTTGAAATGTGCTCTGAGTAATAACCAGGGGACTTGGCATCGGAGATATCAATACTATTGTATGAGTTAGGCTGTTCGGTGCCTGCTTGCTGTCGCTATGATGGATGGTTTTTGCTTCTCACCTAGATGTGATTGACCTTTTGTTGCTCTGTTAGCACTTCGTCTATCGAACCAAAAAAATGGTTAGCTCAATCTCTCGGCCGTAAGTACCTTTTTGCAGCTTGACAACTGTGCTTTTTCGAGATGACAGGTTAGCTGTGCAGTAACGCTGTTCAGAAGTAGCCTGGGGCTCAGAACTCAGCCCCAGGAAACGCAGACCTGAGTTGGTCTGTGCTGCGCCGTGTGACCAAGACACGCCCAGGCTTGAGTCTGTCGAGCGTGGCTGTGTGACCGGACGCTGCACACAGGAAATTCAAGAGTCAATGGCAACTGTAGAATCAAAGGTACCGCACCCAGGCCCTTGGTTGGATACACTCACTTGTTGTGCGCAGGTACCCAGACAGCATCCAGGCCGGAGGGAATTTGGTTTCAAGCCAATCTGGGCCCTCGTTCGCATTGAGATCTGGACGGCTGAGGGATACAGCATCCGGGGTCCAGACCCCGCGTGAACACTACATAAGAAGCTGACTTCCTGGCTTTGACATTCATTCTGTCTTGCGTTGATGCTGACTTCACGCGTTGACTTCAATGCTGGCTCGACGCTGCGACGCTGGCATTGTGACTTGGCGAGGCGCTGCTAGTCCGGCATGGTGGCCAGCTTGCTCCTGTCTTCTTGGCTTGCTGACGTGGCAGCTGCCATGCGCTATCGCTGATGTGGCTGCTGCCACGTGTATCATTGGCTGGCGTGGCTGCTGCCACGTGTTCTATGGCTGGGACAACGTAATCGGCATTGCTGTTCTGTTTCGTCGTCACTTCAGGAGGAGATCAGGACTGTGGAGAGTTCGAGGATACGTACCTGGTGGTCTTCATGTCGACATTGCTCCAGATGCTGATGTGGAACTGATTAGACGCGCCACGTGGCACATTGAGGATACTTCAGATACTCGTTCAGACTACTGATTATTGAGGTGGTAGTGAAGGAGGGAGGCCGAAGCAGGAGTGGGCATTGTACTTCCTCTCCTTTGCCTCTTCATCCTCCTCTCTCTTCGTCTGTGTATGATTACCTCATCCCATTCTGTCTGGTTACGATTTTGACTATTAGTAATCATCAGCCGATGGACATTTATCTGGGCTTGCATTGTTGACAACTGTCTTCACGATCTGGGTTCATTGCAGCTGTACTTGCGGTCGTGGAGTATAATTGTAGTTACTTGAACTCGTTCTGTATATTGGCATTGTTTGGGGGACATTGTAGCACGTATTGCTGAAAGTGTTAAGAGTGACGTGATGGACCCTTTCGGGTATGCAATAGAAAATCTGTTCTTTTCGGATTTTGTGTTTTCTCTGGAATTATCATGATTATTTGATTACCTCTCGCAACTTTACTCTGAGTCAGTTTTTATAATGGGTTGTATTCCCATCTTACCCTGTCCATTTGCTCTTCCTTCTACTTATTCTCCTCCCCTTCTCTTTCGTCTTTTCTCCCTCCTATCCCTTCACCCCCTGAAATGCCACATATAAAACAACGTTCTAACCCATGAGGGGCACAGCTACAAGGGAACTTTGTGAGATTGGCCTACTTATATATATTTTATTTCCCATCAATTGAGCAGTTGTATTCCCCGATGGAAACAAATGCATGGAGGGTTGCGGCGAACTCGCCCCCCTCTCTCTCTCTCTCTCTCTCTCTCTCTCTCTCTCTCTCGTTTTGAAACAGTAAACG